GGATGCAGCTGATGCTGCTAGACTCGAAGCTATTTCACATCTTAAACAATCATCTGGACTGCAGTATGAGGAAAAACGTAAACAGTACTACCAGTTCATGATACTCAAAGCTACTGTGGAGCAACTTAAGAATGGTTTTGCTGATATTAATAATTTGCTAACTGATGTTTTCTCTAAGGACTTGGAATTTCTGCATGGGTTCGAGGCCAACTTGGAGTCATATATGAAACAAGGTGATTGCTCTAGTTTTGTAGGCACACCTGTTTTCATTGCATCTGCTGGCATTACTTCCACCATCTCAGTGAACAAGGTATCTTGTGACTTTGTAATTTTAGTATATTGTCATCTAACTGCATGGTTCTTCTCTGAATCTTCTTAATTTGTTATATTTATTCTATTAAAGCTTTTTGTTTTTTGAGCCTCCCCAAGTGTTTTGTCAGTTTACTTTTAATTTCCTCAAGTTAAATGATCCCAATTTTTTTTTTCCATTAAGGAAAGTTGCACGATCCTTTTCTGGTAATTTCTATGTTCATTATTTAATTTCTTTTGCTCCTCTTCTATTTCTGGATCGACTTTGCACAAGTGCAATGCTTTATGCTGTCTTTTTCGTCTTCTATGCTTAGGGTAATTCTCAATTCCATTTAGAACTTAATTTGCCTATTCCATGCAGGAAGTTCACTTTTTTGCTTGCTCAACCTTCTCTGCTTTATGGCACATAATCACTTTATAATTCTAAGCTGAGTTATTTTTCATTTTTTTTCCTGGTTGCAGGAGAACTTTATGTCTGTGGAATCTTGGTCAGACATCAATTTGCGTGACAATATAAATGAAAATGATTTAATTGAAATTTGCAGTTTCCTTCAGCAAAGTCTGTATGAATTGGTGACTGATGTTGGTTCTCTTAAAGAAAGAGTACACATTCAATCAGTATCGCTGCATGAAGAAGTTAAAAATCTGTCTGAAATTATGGGAATGTTTTGTAGGGAAATAACTTCCCAAAGAGAGTCGTTTGAAGTCATGAAGAGAGACCTGATGCACCTGAAGTCAACTGCACAAGAAAAGGATATGGGAGTTTTTGTTTTGCAAAACAACATTTCTGTGCTTTTTGAAGCATTTGCTAATTCAGTTGCAGAAATTGAAAAGACAAAGGCTGAGATGATCGGAAATACTTTAGTTTCCGGAAATCTAGGAATGGACTTCAATCAAGCAACACTTGCTGATGGTGGAATTCTTTTAAATGAGAAGGATAGATTTTCATCAAAGGAACTAATCAAGTCTGTGGCAGACAGACTATTATTAGCTGTGAGAGAATTTACTAATATGAATGCTGGGATTGTAGAAGGTAAACACAAAGAAATGAAGATTCAGATAGCAGATTTGCGGAAAGCGCTACAGGAGAAGGACATCCAAAAAGATAGGATTTGCATGGAGCTTGTAGATCAAATTAAGGAAGCTGAAGCTCTGGGTAGAACTTACAAATCAGATCTTCAATCTTCAAATGCAAGGTTGCATGATTTGGAGAAAAAATTAGAAGTGACGGAGGAGGAGCGGAATTTATTGGACCAAAGGGTAAGGGCAATGGAAGACGAGCAAGCCACCGTAGCAGAGGTGCATGAGAGAGTCAGGTCCCTGACTGACATGCTAGCTGCCAAAGAACAAGGTCACTTTCTTTCAATTGATTCTACTTTTCATAACACTGTGGTTTGTTGTTAATTTATGCAAGCAATATTTAATCATATCTTATTGCTGACTGCAGAGGTTGAAGCATTGATGCAAGCGCTTGATGAGGAAGAGGTTCAGATGGAAGATCTGACCAACAAGATCCATGAATTGAAAAAAGAGTTGCTACAAAAGAACGTGGATTTAGAGAACCTTGAAGCATCTCGTGGAAAGGTTGTTAAAAAGCTGTCTGTAACTATCAAGAAGTTTGATGAGCTTCATCATTTGTCTGAAAATCTTCTAGCTGAGGTTGAAAGGCTCCAATCACAATTGCAAGAT